TCGAGCATTGTTGGTGAAAATAGAAAATGAGCAGATACTGATCTATAAATGTAAATAAATGAAAGCATACCCACATCTTGACTCTGTCATCTATTGTGTAGCCGTAGCATCAGAATGAGCGGCGGAAAATTGATCGAAACCCAACAGTCACAGGCGCACTGCAGCAAGACACAACCACCATGGGAAATAAGTCTGCAGAAGAAAATTGAGAATATTAGATCAGGTATTGCTGTAATCGAAGCGTTCCAGAGAGGAAGCCGAAAAAAGCATATACGAAATAAAGTAGCCAATGTACAGAGGAAACATCGAAAACATGCTCGCTACGATCTGAAAAAAATATCCTTAACAGATGTTGTTGACTCTAAAACAACTAAGGGTCTACAGACAACGCCATTACTCTAAACGTCTCAGAAGAAAAACAGACAATAGAGATTTCCATAGCAACCAAAGAATTTCTACCGAAGAATAAGCATGAAACGAAATTCAAGTTAATTAAATTCCAACGCAATCAACTGTAGAAGAATATTGGATGAACATGTGGTCAAGAGAAAACTGTTTCAATACTAACGCATCATGGCTGCAACAATTAGAAATGGATTCAAGAAAAATTGAAGACTTAACATCATCCATTGAATTACGCAATTAAAAACCGTTATGTCAAAGCTACACAACTGGAAATGTTCTGAGTTGGACGAACTCCATAATTTCTGTTTCAAAGATTCACCAGTTTACAAGATAAAATACTTGAATTGATAAAGTATTACCTCCAGAACCCGGAGGAAATTCTATCTTATATATGTGAGAGTAAGACGTTTATGAAGCCAAAAACAGATGATACAGTTCACCCAAAACATTTCCGCCTAATCACTTGCCTCTTTTTTTTTTTTTTATAAAATCATTACCAGTTGGCTACAGTCAGTAATAGAACAACATTGCACACATAATAAAATCCTTGCAGATGTTTAGAAAGAATGTCTCAGGCAGCCAAAAAGACCCGCATTCTCTATCTGCTTTGTCGATTTTGGAAAGACTTTTGGTATGATACCACACGAATGGCTAATCTATATTTTCTCAACTTACCGAATAAAACCCTACAAGTGTGTATTTTATGAAATCAGTTATGAAGCAATGACGTACTACTATTGCAATTACATCAAATACGGAGATGATTACTACAAACGCATTAGACATCATATGTGGCATTTTCCAAGGCGACAGTTTCAGTCCTTACTGGTTTTGCCTTGCAATGAACCCACTTTCAACTTTCCTGGACAAAAATATATGGTTTGAATTAAAAGGTTTCGAAAAAATATAAAATGTCACATAATAATACATGAATGATATAAAATTGTACTCCTATTCAGAACGTTGATTGGAAAATGTATTGGAAATAACCGAGTAATTTTCTATCGATACGGGAATGCAACAGGGAATTGACAAATGTAAAATCAAAAGCATAAAAAGGGACAAACTCACAGGCAATGTTATATACGAGACCTTATCTAAAGATGCCATAACAGCAATAAACATAAACGACTTCTACTAATATCTTGGAATGCAACAAAATCTAACAATAGTCCACACACAAATCAAGAACTGAAGGTAGAGTTTGAACGGTCATCAAAGACAATTTTTCCAAGAAACTTTTGTATTGTAAATAAATAAAATCAAAGCACACTCAAAATAAATTCAGTTATTTTCAGTCAATATTTAAGCGTATAGTAGATACAAAAAATAATATTTATATTTCAATATCTTGAAAACTAGTGGTTCTAACCGCAGATAATTTTCCGCAAATGTAATTTACTACTTATAGGAACATTATCGGCTTTTTCGAAGCCAGGGCCCTACAACAAGACTTTCTCTGTCCAAAATCGTCGATCTAAACTCGATTTTTACAGCAGCATTTCAATTCTTTTTCATTACCACGTATAAAGTAGAAGGATAAATATAAAATTCCAGGATTTCAATCTAAAGGTTCTCGTACTCAATAAAAAACATTCCAAGTTGAGAGCGATATATTAATATTAATTATCTTAATTTCAGAAACTCATTATTTATTTGCATTGCATTGCGAATCTATCGTGATCCAGAGAGTTTAAATGTGGAATTTCATGGTCGGATGTTTGTGTGTACCATAAACTCAATATTTTCAAGACTGTAATTACAAGGTGTACTTAATTTAGCTTATTATTTAAGATATTTCCTTTCTTTTTTTGATTGATGAGCACTTATCACCCATTGCCCCATTATGGAAGAAAATTAGTAGTGTTAAAACAGCAAGTACTTTCTCACTCGTATTTTCACGTAAAAATTCGCGAAAAGAATTGAGATTTTCGAAAATTGTACATTATCTTCTTTCAAAATCTATATTTAAAAAACAGATTCCATTAAGAGAAAATATCTCATCTTTAACACTTTAGTTTAGAGTTTAGTTGTAGGAAGACGCCGAAACGATTTTAAAGTTTTGCAGTTTTCGAAAAAGTTTGGGTTTTCAACAAACACGAGACCTGCACAAATCTTTTAAACGTCCTTCACACTATCAAACAAAAAAATCCAGAACGATGGAGCTATTTTTGTGACAATTTAAAAAATGTCCCAGGGGCTCTAAGTACAGTTTATCCAAAATTGAAATATCGGTTTCAAATTCAAGGGTCCGCGACATCAGCCAGATAGATTGGGGAATATCAATTTTGGAGAAAATCGTCTGAACGGTAGCCGCTTGCATTGTTCACAGACTGACGAACGGACAGATGGCGGTCAGGCATTTAACCGTCATTCGATTGTCGGGTATCAAGGACCCACAAAACATAAATTCTGGCCACGCCACGTGTTACATGTTGTTTCTCTAAACTTTGAAAGTGAATTTATCCTCTTTTTCGTTACCAGGGCCATGTAATGAAAGTTTTTCTGCCGAAAATAAGCCGTTTTTTTCGCGGAGCATTAAGTAACTTTCTTTCCACTCCGTAGCCAGAAAGTAAAAATACATAACGAAATGGTATTTTACAATAGCAATGTTGTTTTAGATCATGTCGATTAAGTACTGTGTAAATCCAATAAAATAACTATTTTCCAAATTCATAACACACTAAGCATAGATTACAACATGACCACTTATAAGAAACCACCAACACAAAACCCTGAAAGTGTGCTATTGCTGGATAGGGAATTACCCCCAGTCCATCCAACAGATTTAGGACGAAAAAATGTTTGTAAGCCGTATTTCGTATATATCAACCCAAAAAAGTCAATACAATAAAATAAATTTAGATAAAAACACTTACTCTTGACGTTTGCCTTTATCGCGGAGCCACTTTTGACTACTATGCCAACGGCCCAATACTCCCAGCGACCACTAACCAGCAGTTACCACAAAATACACTTAATGAATTTTATCCCGACGAAGCCCTAGGGCAACTTCTGAAAACAAGCGTTGCCACCATCTCGGAAAGGAGAGCAACACGTTGCAAGCCGAAATCCCGCAAGGAAACTTTCAACTTCCGCTGGTGTGGAGCTAGCCGAGTTTTTTTTCTGATGCTCTATTGCTTATTTGCTTTCGCTACGTAGCTCAATAAACTGCTGCATTACTTACCTGGATCGAAAGGATCGTGTTTACGAGGGAAACAACAGTTGAATTATGGAGTTAGCTTATGGAGCAATATGGAGGGAATTCTGAAATGGGAAATATAAGATATGAAAAGACAAACCGAGACACGTTAACATTAGTTTAGGTAAAAAAAATAAATAAAAAATTAAAAATATCTTGTACCGCAGGCGGTAACCGATTCTGACAAGCCATCGGGCGTTTTGTTGCCTCTCAATCTTTACAACACTTAACGCCCTCGGTGCTTAATTATAGTGCGTTAGGTTAAATTTAACCCTTATTACAAGATGTGGGCGCGGCATTTTTTTAGTAGCAACCGCAATTGATCCAGAAAACGTACGAGGTACCAAAGACATCAGTCGTGTGTAGTCCTGTCACATTTCAAATACTCTCGCAGCATACAAGTTTGAAATAGAAAAATTCTACACTAGGGGCTAGGGTCTTCACCTCGCTTAGAATTGAGACTCCTGCGCACGAGAATTAAGTTGACGCGCGTGAAGGAACTCCTAGAATTAAGTTGACTCTTAGCGTAACACCTTATGCGAACGGCTTACCAGGGCTCTGGCCGTTCCACGTAACAGTTAATCTAAGACGCGCGTTACCTATGGCGCGGCAGCGCTCGTTTGACAGATGCAAGGGTTTTAAAACCCACCAACCAAAATGTTCACACTGTACGAGCGTGCCTGGGCAGGTGGTCAAGGTACATCGGCTTTGAAATTAAGAAACATTCTGAAAGGCTTATGGTGCAAAGGGTTTAAAGCACAGTTTTGCAAAGACATGGATACCATCACCTGAAACATTAAATGGAAATAATTTTAAGAGGAAATGGTGAAGGCAGAAAACGTCATGCATAATTGGATTTATCACCAAGAGTGAAAATTGTTATACAGATCATCTTCGGTTGAGGCGTACATAATGAAAATTCCATATAGGAAAAGAATACCGACGAATATTTGGTAATATAAATAAAAACTGGAAAGAATTGTTTGTTAACCTTTGTTCAAATGAAAAAAACAACAAATAGACGTAAACATTTAATATGCGAATAAGACTAAAGAATTATAATTTTCTAAATTAAAATTTATTTACAATAGTCATTTTAATTAAATTAAAGTCTTAGCTACAATTTTGATTTGCCGTAAGTTTTAACACAATATTCATTGTTTATTATGAAAAAAGTAAAAAGTTTGGAAAATTCATTTCTCAAAAACCAAATTAAATTTGTAGTCGTTAAGTAAATACAGTTTTAGGAATTACTGGACATTTCATGCCCTCCACCCGAACTATTTAACAATTAAAAATTAAAACTTCGTAATGCAGATTTTCTTAGCGTGCAACTTCACAGATCTCAAGGTCGGCGATTGCATATGGGGCGGCATCGACTAGTGCATCTCACTCCAAATCTGCAAGGTTGCCTCTGCCGTTCACCAGAAAATGCCCTCTCGGTGGATGGAGTGGAACGCTCCGGCGTAACTGCGTTGAAATTCTCGCCGCGACCAGGGGTGCTTCGCTGCTGGAAGACAATCTGAGGTGGCCGTTCTGTCTGCGTAGAAGGTCGATATAAATTCACCCCCCTGGAGGCCACCTCTGCGATTTCTCGCAGAAAATCTAACGGAGACGGAGCGGCAGATGTACGTTCGGGAGACGTTCTCGGTGTGGTGCCAGCGCTGACGTTTGAAACTGCAGGGGTAGACGGAAGTGAAGGCGCAGGCCTAGGCGCAGGCCTGGGCGCAGGCGCAGGCGCAGGCGCAGGCGCAGGCGTGGGTGGGAGTTTCCTGCATATGTCCCGCAATGGAATGCAGCGAAAGCCGAAGTTTCTTGTTCGGCACACTGGACATTTGCGCAAGTAAGGCAGGCACAGGTCACAGACTATGTGGCCGTTTCGACATGTTGTCAAGTCTGTGTGTATGGTCATTAAACACACCGGACATTCGAGTAGACGGCGCACATCCGAAACGAAGGACATCCTGTAAAAAGTAAAGAAAAAATGTAAAATATATATTTATTAAATATTTTATGTAGAACCTAGACCTTAAAATTTCTATGGTAAATTTTTCAAGTCTTTGTAATCGCTGAAACTAGAAAAAAAGTATTGTAGACCATGTGTGTAATTATGAGGAAAGTTAACACTCCCTCTCCCTCCATTTCCAAATTACAAACAGACGTTACTGAAACAACGTGGCCTAGTAATTTGAAAGATTGGCAAGCAATTTATGAAGTGTGGAAGGTTGAAGTAGTAGAAATACAAATCTTGAAAAATACAACTAGTTTGGCAATACAATGTTTCTAAATTAGGAAATTAAAACTAAAATAAATAATATTAGATCTATTCGTGTGTGAATTGGCAAAGCACCCGGCCATACGCAGTTATCTCCCCACCCCACACTTATTTGGCATTAGCATTGATAATTAGTAAGCAGTTTCATGTAGTTCACTTTTATCCATTCCCTAAAAGTAGAAACTTGCACAACTAAAAATCCTTGTTTATATTATTTCGGACAACCTTTAACAAAAGGCATTTAGAGGAAGCAGCCAAAGTGTTCCGAAAAACTGGGACCGTCGGGTGAATTACTTTCATCGTATTCATCCCTGCGACTAATGTTTAATAAAAGAATAATGTTAAACTAAAATGGATTTATCACTGTGGATTTGACATACCGAATAACAAAAAAGCTTTACACCGCTTACAATTCTGCGTACTAGTCCAAATACCGGAGTTAATATTAAGTTTTCAGAATCCCGTATTTGATTAATATATTAAGTTGACTATAAATTTTCACCGAGCACTCAGTTTAATTAAAAAAGTTGAAGTACCAATGTATCTGTTAAACTATGCATTTATATTAAATTGCGTATCAGAAACAAAAATTGAACCACTGGGAACAAAAACGAGCGCATTGACTGAAAGGATTGTCATACAATACAATAACACATTACCTGGTCTATTGGACTCTTCTCTAAAAACCACGTAACCATTCCCAGCGCACCACCACTCCGTGAGGCTTATAGCCCTCCACTCAAAAGTAAACCCCTCTGCGTCTTGTTTATGTAGCGTAACTTGGCCGTGACGAAATTGGCCGTGGCAGCAGCCAATGACAGAGGCGACGTTGCGAGTGTGTTCCTCAAGACGTTCGGTTTCAGCCAGGTCTCAGCTCTACCACAGAATGCGCTGCAGTCCCTCTCTTTGTGAACTGATAGTCTCGGCAGCGAGCGAACTGATAGTCTGATTTCTCGATTTTCACCTATTCCTTCAGCGCAATAAACATTTTTTAGCCCTAATGTAGTTCAAAACAATTGACATATAATAATAATAATAATAATAATAATAATAATAATAATAATAATAATAATAAATAAGGTGAACACTTTATTCTTAAATATTATTATGGTATCATGGTAAAAATTTGAAAAGAAAATTACAATTTTATATAAATTGAGGCTTTTTCTCAACTATACTTCCTGCAAATGATACTTTTGCTTTTGGATTACATTGACTTTTGAAAAATAGGATACATAATATATCGCTCATAGGCTGCAATAGTTGTACAACTAAAAAAATATAAATTTTATGTTAATGCACTCTCCAAAAATAGAGATTGGTCTACCTTACAGCAGCAACTTATTATTATATTGGAATATTTTGCATGGTTGGATAAGTATGACCATTTTTAACAATATTTATTTAATAAACAGCAACAGTAATACATTTCTGTTTGGAGTAATAAATTATTATTGAATGTGTATTTAATTATCTATTTGGTTTATTTTTATTATGCCAGTTCGTACTCTATATTATAATACTCGAATATTGGCATGGGTGCATAACTATGCGGTTTTTAACAATATTTATTTAATGAACTGCGACACTAATACATTTCATTTTGGAGTAATAAATTAAGTGCCCTGCAATGACTGGCAAAAGTAAAATATCTCAGAAACTCTCATTTCCTCCATAGCGGCGCCAGAGTTGCGGGACACGGCCGCAGCGCAGCGCGCTATGTCGGCCACCAACACTCGCGCATGCGCAGTATGCAGCCAGCCTCCGACAAGTGCCGGCCAATAGACGTGCAGCAAAGCCTGAGCTGCGCGCCCCGCTCGCTACACAGACTCCAATGGCACGCCGCAGCGACGACAGACGCCCATGGAGCGTACCAGCTGGGAAGCGAGCTCTATTTGGCGATTCTTTCAGCAGATCCGATTGCCGGAATCTGGAACAATGCGAATTGTTTAGAGTTATTTTTCTACCGCGCATTTAACTCTACTCATTTCATGCGATTGCCAAAGAAACCTAGTACGATATTTTTATGCCAGCATGGACTTTTTTCGTTTAATTTGAAAAAACGCCGAGCTTCCACAAACCTTCAGGGCCCACGTGGTAGCTCTGAAAAGCAAAAGTTAAAAATGCACTGAAATGTCTTGAAGACTGTTTAACGTAGTTGAAATGATGTCACGTGGTTCGTAATTCTCATTAATACATGCTGTTCTCCTATGTTGGCAACAGTTTTTTTGGTTTAGCAACGAGGTGTCTTCAACTGACGCGCCAACAATTTGGTTACTGCCCAAAGCTCCCAGGAGTCCGTCTGAGTAACGCATTACTGGACTAACAGCTCGAAGCACTGGGAGGGCGGCGTCAATCGTCATAACCGTCTCTTTGCCCCATATTCTACTCAACACGCATACTGAATTTTGCTCGGGATTAAGCTTAGCCAAAATTCGCCAATAAATCTCACTAAGAAGTAAGCATAACCAGTTACATACCACCGAACAAGTGCAGGTTAAGTTGACTTCAACTCTGCCCGGAGCTGATGACACAAATCCAGAATTATAGTTTGAACTACCCATTACAATATATTTACAATAGAAACTATCATTTAATATCTTACTTGCGTACGTTATCATAAATTAACAATTCGAAATTAATTTTAATTTCAGCTTACGTAAATACAAAATTCTTTAAAGAAAACATCAAGTAGGTTGGAACTACATGACCCTCCTTTCCACGAGGAAAAGTCCTGGTAGCGCCACTATGTATGTAATACAAAAACTAAACTTCGTTCAGGAACATAGCCTTGCATAAAGACAGCTCGACACATTCGGCATTCGCTGAAGGTGGCTCCACGCATTTGGCATTCGGCGAATCCCGATTAGTATGGACGGGTTGCTCGCCGATCGCCGATCATTCGGTATTCGTCCTGTTGGCTAGGCTACCCGGGACGAGCCGCGTCAATGTCATGGTAGCTAAAGTTTCGGCCAGTGTATTGTGGCCTTTTTCAGAGCGTACTGCTGTCGGTCGTACTGCTGCTATTCGGTATTCGTCCTACCCACCGCGTGTCGGTCTTTCGGATACATCAAAGGGAGCGAACAATCGCCGAACACATCCGCTGTTCGGGATTGGGTGAGTGGTAGCTCGCTACTCGGCAAATGCCGAATGTGTGGAGCAGTCTTCAGCAGCGATCTATTTGCTCAGCCAATCCCAAGCATCTGATGTGTTCACAAGATGTTTTTTCTTTGATGTATCCAACACCGACACACGGTGGGAAGGGTGACCACCAAATGTTCGGCACTCGACAAATAACACTCAACTCATCCATATATCTCGCTACTGGCCGCTACTATCCATCGCTACTCTCGGTATAATGAATGTATGAAGCCGCCCTAAACAAGTAATTTGGGTAGGTTTAACGTTTGGTCGAGAATGAACCCCTGTATGTGTAATTATACCTCTTTATTTAGATTCCAGTACCGAAAGTGGTACCCAAACGTAGAAAGCGGCCGTTATGTTTCGGCTTGCCTCTTATTTCAGTTTTGTTATCGTTATTGAGGTTTCAGTTATTGTTTCGTTTCTCTCTTTTCTGTATATTGCATGTTTTATGCATTGTATCTCTTTCATCATTTTAAATTCTTTTCAGTACTCATCCCATTTTTCATGTTTTAAAAATATATAATTACATACAGAACCGTATTTTGTATCGAATCTTTCCTTTATATCAGGGCACTTACATTTAGATTTATTGTAGAATTATTTAGTCAAAAACCAGTAAAAAACTGAATATGACGTATGGGGGAGAAGATTACCAGCGCATGTTTTCTTGAGATCCAGAATCTCTTCCCATCATTTTAACTACAAATAATTGAAAGATGAGTAAAAGTTAAAGATAAATAAATTAAAATTAAAATTAAAAAAGCACGAGATTAGCAACATTTGAAAAACTAGACATTTTCGTTCCCGAGTTATATAATACTTATTTGTAACGGTAAACGAACTGCAGATTTGATTTTTCTGTATTGCTAACAAAGTAGTAACTCGCCCTTACTTTTACTGCTACCACTATAAGCGAAGAAGTGTTCAAGAAAACGTAGGCATAGTGAAGATACATTTCATCCAAAAGCAAACAAAGGGGCCATCTTAACATTTGCTCAATATATCAGGGTAACTGGACAAATGCCTGATCGAGATTGGGGCCATTGACCCGGAAGCTGAAGTACATTTGTTACAGACATGTTAAGTCTTTAAAAAAATATACAATACAAATGTAAACTAATTCATTATATATCACTGTTTTGTTAAAATAAAGATTATTTTTCTTTTTGATGATCTGTATTTTCATCAGTATCTTTATGATGATCAGATGATCAGATTTACGTGCTCAGATCACGCTTGCGCTCTTCATGGCACGCTGATCCCTCGCATAAGGGAAGGAAGTGACGCTATTTTGTAGGGCTGAACAGTCTGAAGAAACGCAGTAAATTCCGGTGGGCCCTTCATTTCTTGTTCAGTGAGTGTGAAGGAGATACACATAATTTCATATGCAGAAAACATCTAGCAACAGAAAAGTGAGTCTATACGTACGTCTTACACACGCTATCGTTTTATGAGTTATATCATCAGAATCTCCCGCTACTGGGTGCTGTGTCTGGCAGTGCTCGTAACAAACTGTTTTGAGTAAAATGTTCGTTGATACAGGTATTAGTAATTTTTGTGTTTGCTGCATACGAATATTTTGTTCAGATTACTATGTATATTTTATGCATAGTTAATGTTCGCAGGAAATTTATCTACGTATAATTTAGGAATCGGCCCCTCTTAGCTTTAATGAATTTCTATCTATGCATTTTTTAAAGAAGACTTATAGAGTTTGTGACAGTAGTTTCGAATACTTATGTTTTACATAAAAGTAATGTGTTTCTTTACGTTCTAAACGATAGGGAAGATTAATATTGACGATGTGAAGCTCATTGCGTAGATCATAATTATATGAGTTGAACATGAGATCTGGCTATATAAAAAAGATAAAAGTGTAAAATTCTGTAGGCAAAGACAACGTTTATCACAGGCACGCGCAGCCTGTGGGGGAACTTCATTTATGGGCTTTATGTATCGGTATTATGTATACTACAAAGAGAAAGTATAACTTCACTGATTACCATTAACAAATACAACTGATTTTATGTCAAACTATTTACAGAGTTGCGAGCAGGGCCGGATTTACCTGCAAGGTAAACAAGCAGTGTCTTGGGCAGTCCCCATTCATGAGGGGCCCCGAGCTTCCGAAAAATATGTATAACATATTTTATAACAAAATTATATAATGTAATAAATGTAAAATTGTATATAAAAATTATTAGTTTTCAATTATATTTGTACAGATAGTACTTTATTAAGATTTTTTTTATTTAATAAAGATGGAGCTGTTTCTAGGGCGGGGGACCACACAATTTTGTGCTTGGGGAACCCCTAATACGTATTTCCGGCCCTGATTGCCAGAACTGAAGAGCCCCATATGTCGTGTAATTATTTCACTAATTTTTTAGGGTTGCCAAAAATTATACAATGAAGAGCTACAAAAATTGGTACAGCCAAGCGTATTGAAATAAAGATATCTGGAACCAATCAGAATACCGCGTCCGGTCGGCAACAATATAAGACAATCAGAGTTTCGCACAGTTGTTGGTTAATGGTGGTTAATGCAGCTACAATGACAAGTTATTATGATTTAAGTGAGTTTGAACGTGGTGTTATAGTCGACGCAAGATAGATGGCACATGGCATCTCCGAGGTCGCGATGAAATTTGGATTTTCCCGTACGACCATTTTACGAGTGTACCG